CCAGCCTCCTAAATGATCTGTTGCATATACAGACTGAAAAGGTATGGAGATAGAACATATCTGACATACTCGTTTCATGATTTTGAACTAGGCAGTGTACAGACTTGAGGTAAAAGGAATTTGCCTGGCATATGACCTCATCACCTTTATCTTACTCAATAAACCGCTCACTCACTGACTATTAAGTCATAGGTGACCCTCTGTTGGGTTTCTGAGATGCTAATTCACATAGAAAAAAAAAAGAGCATCTTTATCCTGGGTGCAACTAGTGGAATCAAACTATCAGAGTTGTGTTACTTTTTTTTTTAAGTGAACAGAGGAAGTTTCCCTGGAGATAGGTCTCTATATTTGAATATACTTGCCTCCTTGCCTGTAGGGCCATTCCAGAGGTCATGCAGGATAAGAGAGTTTGGGGCTACAAGCAGTGGAAAGACATTCTTAGCTTTCTCAACTGGCACATTGAGCAGCAAGAAATAGGGCTGACCTGAGATGCCCCAGGAAAGAAACTGCTCCAGTGGACTGACACCAGTCACCCACTTCATATGCAAATGAAGGCAATTATGTTTGGGACTGGGGACTACATTAAGGAGAGATTCCTGGAGGGCTACAATGCAGAACAGAAAGAAGCTCAAAGACTTTAGGAAAGGCAAATTTTCCCAGAAAAAACTCAATAGAGTGAGAGGCTTACCTCATCGATTGAACATTTTAATATGACAACTAATTAATAACATCATAAAGATAAGAACTGCCACAACATACACCGACACAATAGAAACTGCCTAATACTTTATCAAGAAAAACTTCACAAAATGCAAGAAAGCTTCAGACAGCTTTAAAGACTGAGAAAAAAACAAATAAACCTTTCTAAAAAAAAATCAAAGAATACTGGAGCTCTGGTGGCCTAGTGCAAGAAGCTGCACTGCAATCCCAGAGGCACACAGTTTGAATTCACCAGATTCTCTGTTAGAGAAGGAGGGGCCATTTTCTCCTGTACCAAGCAGATCCAATTTGACGGTACAAACACAAAAAAATAATAAAATATAAAAAAATTTTAAAAATCAATCAAAGAATATTGCAGACCCAATATTTACCGCAGAGGCAAGAGGGCAGATGATATATATTGATATAGAGACATTTGAACAGCTACAAAATAACGTACAAATGTTGGAAGGAACAATGGAAGCTAAAAATAAAGAGAATATCTTAGAGGTAGAGACCAGAAGAAATATATTGATGAGAAGTTATTTGAGCAGCTAAGAAAAAAAATGCAAAAGATGGAAAAAAACATAGAAACCACTAAGAAATTGGACACTTCAGAAACACAGAGACAGAAGAAATATATTGACAAAGAGAAATAACATAAATATGACTGGAATTTCAGAATATGAGAGGAACAGGGAAATCATTGAGAAAATTGTGGGAGAAATACTAGAAGACAGTTTCCCAGGTATTATAAAGAATGAGGATATCCACATTCAGGATGCTCAGTGAACGTCAAATAGACTAAAGCCAAAAGGAAAACATTAAGACATATCATAGTTAAATCCTCCAAAATAAAAGATAAGGATAGAATACTGAAAGCGGCACAAGAAAAACAAAGAGTCACATTCAAAGGAAAAGCAATTTAACTAAGTTCTGATTTTTCAGCACAAAGAGGATGGGATGGCATATACAGAGAGTTGAAAGAAAGTAATTGCCAATTGAAGATTCTGTACTCAACAAAGCTCTCCTACAAATATGAAGGAGAAATTAAATCCTTTCCGGAAAAGAAAGAACTTAAGAAGTCTGTAAAAACAAGACCAAATCTACAAGAACTTTTAAGGGAAACCCTTTACACAAAGATATCAAAGGAAAATGGTTGTACCATAGTAACAAGAAGCAATAAAAAAGAAAAACAGCAAAATGATAGCAATAAAACATGGCCTGTAAATAAGCATACTTAATGTGAATGGACTAAATGCACCAATCAAGAGACAAAAGAGTGGCAGAATGGATTAAAAAAAAACAAACAAAAAAACAAAGCTTATCAATATATTGTTTACAAGAGACATATAAGATATGAAGTAAAAGATAGACTAAAAATCAAAAGCTGGTACAAAGAAAACTATAGAACATTTCTGTGAGACACAAAGGGCTAAATAAATGGGAAAATATTCCTTTTTCCTTCATAGTAAGACTCAATATTGTGAAAATGATAATGCTACTAAAGCAATCTACATGTTCAATGCAATCACAAAACAGATACCAAATTCATTTTTCAAGGCGATAAAAAAGAAAGAGACCCCAAATAAGCAAAGTATTAGTGAAAAACAAAAATAAAGTGGAAAGCATAGCACTCCCTGAACTCAAAGCCAACTACACAGTGTAACAACAAAAATAGTTCAGTATTGGTACAATGACAGGCACATAGACCAATGTAACAGAATCAAAAACCCAAAAATGGGCCTATCTATTTATGTTCAACTGATATTCGAAAAGGAAATAAAATCTATCAAATGGGGAAATGACAACCACTTCACTTATGGTTCTGGCAAACTGGACTGCTTACCTGCAGAAAGTTGGTACAGGATCCACATCTCACACCATAAACAAAAATCAACTTGAGGTGGACCAATGACCTGGGAGTAAAGCCAAAAACCATAAAGTTTATAAGAGATAAACTGGGACTAAGTTTAGAACGCCGTTGTTATGTGCATTGAGTTGCCTGTGACCCATAGCAGCCCTATATACAGCAGCTATCATCCCCGCCCTGTCTTGAGCCAGTCTCACTAATTCCGATACACCAATCCCCATTGCCCCAGTCACTGTCTCAAGCCATCTTATCTGAGGTCTTCCTCTCCTGTGCTGTCCCTCCACCCTTTCAAGCATGATGTTCTTCTCCAAGGACTTGTCTCTCCCGGCCACATGCCCAAAGTATGTGACACAGAGCTTCATAATCCTAGCCTCCAGAAGAAACTTGGTTTCACCACCTCCAAGACAGACCTATTTGTTTTCTTGGCAGTAAATGGTATGTTCAAGAGTCTTCTTCAGCAATGGAGATGCCATCAATTCTTCTTCTATCATCCTTAGTGATTGTCCAGCTCTCTGATGCATAGCAAGTAATTACAAAGACCATGGCCTGTATTAAGCACACCTTAGTCTCTAGACTGACATCGTTGCTTTACAGCACTCTGAAGAGTTCCTTGACAATAGATGTTCCTAATGCAATTTGTCTTTTGATTTCCTGACTGCTGGTGTAAAAAGTGTAGATTATGGATCCATGCATGATTTAATTATTAACAATCTCAATCTCTTCTCCATTTATCATAGTACTTCCAATTGGCCCAGTGGTGAGAATCTTTGTCTTAATATTGAGCTTCAATCCATATTCAAGACTATAGTTCTTGACCTTCTGTAGCAAGCACTTCAGGTCTAGTCTATATAGTATAAATAGATGACAAATACAGCCAGAAATGCACACAATCTGAAGAGGATAAAATTGATAAATGGGACTTTATAAAGATTAAAACTCTGTGCTCTTAAAACTTTTTTCCTACAGGGTAAACTGGGAATAAATATTTTGCAATATCATCTCAGATAAAGGTCTCATAACAAAAGTTTACAAAATGCTCCTGAGCCTCCAGAAGAAAAAGACTGATTACTCAATTACAAAATGGGCAAAAGACATGGAATAACTTTTCAGATGTTTTGATTTGCTAGCAGACACATGAAGAAATGTCCAAAATCACTGGCAATAAAGGAGATTTAAATAGAAACCACAATGAAATACCAGTTTATCCAGTAGCAGTGGCAAAGAGAGCAGGTAAGTAAGCAATAAATGTTAAGAAGATGTGGAGAAACAGAAATTCTCATGTACTGTTGGTGGGACTGTAAAATGATACAACCACTCTGGAAGACAGTTTGGTATTTCCTAAAAAAAGTTGAACATAGAAATTCTGTAAGACCCAGCTACACCACTACTAGGAATATATCCAAAGGATATTAGAACTGAGACACAAAGAGAGATTTACACACCAATAATCATAGGAGCATTATTCATCATCAGGAGAACATGAAAATAACACAAATGTCCAACTACAATTGAATAGATTGCTAAATTGTGGTACATTCACACAATGGAATACTATGCAGCACTCTGGAGCAAGGATTTTTAAATATACTATGTAACTTGGAAGAGACTGAAGAGCATTATGCCACATGGACTAACTCGTTCTCATAAGGATAAATACTGCATAAGACCATTATTATAAAAATTGAGTGCTAACTAGTAAAACATGCATGGGAGATCAAGTGGAGAAAGGGAGGGTTGAGGATGGGTAGGGACAAAAACCACAGTGTTGCAAAGTTTAGCGGGTGAAGTGGGGGCATGAAAATAAGAAGGATCCAGGTGAATATACAGTGTAATTATGGAAAAAGTCATATGGTGATTAATTATATAAAACATAAAGCATGTGAATGATTATATGAAACATAATGTGAATGAAGAATAGCTGTGAAACATAATGTATTCGAACTTTGTATGTAAACCAATAAGAAAAGGGGAGCAAAAAACCCATCATCCTTGAGCTTTGTTATTCTAAGAACTATTTACATTAGATCAAATTGTCAACATAAAATTGATAAATTAGATCATCAGTGCTGCTGAGTTTACAGGAGAAGAATAACAAAAAAGGCAAAGGTGAAAACAGTTGTACAACTTAATATTCAATCACTCATTTGTACATAGAAATACTGTTGAATTGGTGTAGTTTTGTTGTGAATGCTTTCAACAACAACAACAAAAAATAAACTATTTCAAGAGTGTATAGCAAAAAAATGTATAGGATTGTGTTTGTGATGTGATAAAATTCACTAAACATCAGTCAAATATATGAAAAAATATATTATCATCCTCTCAATTTTCGTATTTTGCTTCTCTTATTTGGTAATTTATAACCTAAGTAAATACAATGTAATGCTTTGTGCTGTAATCAACCTTGAATGTAATAAAAAGGGACAACTTTCAAAGAAGCTTCAATTTTCCATAGGAAAACCTATTTCAGTAACAACGATTCCCCTTAGAACGAAAGGGATTTTTCTATTTCAAAACAAAACCTTTCCCTTCCTATACATTCAGGAAAATTTCAATCAAATTATATTTTTTTTCAGAACTGAGTTTCCACTGAATCATGAAAACAACAATTGAAAAATTCTCCAATACACTGCTCACATGTTTAAATTAGATCGAAGTGCTTTGTTGACTTACTGTAACAAAGAGCTTATGACTCAGAGCTGTCACTCTCAGTTGTTACTGGTGTCCCTGCGTGGAGAGTAATAGGTATGGTCAACTAAGGGTGCACTCTTCACAGTCAGCAACCCTTTGAATTAAGTACATACCAAAATAATAGAGTTTATGCAGGTTACAGTGTAATATCATACATTTACCCCTTGTCTTTAATTCTTAAGGCTATTTTTTTTTTAATTAGGCTTTATGTTTTGTCATCTTGAATATTTTAATACTTTAATGGTCTTGAATGTGTGTAGTCATACAGGACAGAGGTAAAATAAAATTTTATAGTCAACAAAGTCCTTTATACCTAAAGTTTATTGCTCATTTTATATTTGGTGTAACAACACATGGCTCCTTGAGACTCTGAAATACACATCCTCAAGTTTCTGCTTGCATGTATTTTTTTTCCTTCTTAGTGAGGGCTCGTTTGATTCTCTGGAAAGAAAAAATACTTGATAACTGACAAGAGTGACGGAACTTTACCAGGTATTTTTCCAAAATAATTAATATTCTTTTGTTCTAGAAAAATGACCTATTTTGTTTGTTCCTTCAATCCAAACAATGTCTATCTGAACTGTCCATTTTCCCTTAAGTCTTCAATTTTACTCAATATGGTCAGAATTTCATATCTTTTCAACCAAGTCACTGACAGTTG